CGATGATTTCACCTTTGACCTTTTCCTTCACTGTCACTCATTTTCATATCTAAAACATAGATTCTTCAAATACAAAAATATAGATGACAATCAAATTAGTTACACCAACAACAGATAAAAACAAAAGGGATAAAATAACAGAACTCCTAATCACTTACTCAGGTTTTCAAAGAAAAACTTCTGCCCCAGGGGGTCTCTGGTAAGAAAAGTGGTGACTCGCTTAAAATTAAGCGAGTCCAAATACACATCTCAGTATCATTGGATATATACCCTGTGGATAAAGCGTATCAATAAGAGACCACCCCTTGTGTTTCAGACCAACAGCAATCCAAATGGAAACATTTGGTTCTATCGCCTCATATGTACTTGCCATAGATATACTAATTGCATCTATGAATTTGTTACCATTTTTCCAATCCATAGATATGTCATACTTGTGACCCAATATAGCAGACATCACAATCCCTTCCCCTATGGTTAAGTTATGCAAATCATGTTTGGCCTTGATTAGAAGACTGTGTTCACCCCATTCCAAATATAACAAAAATGAGGCTCAATTATTATTCCGTAAGTAAGTATTAATGTTTCTTTTGGATATGACACTGGAACACAAGACTTGTTTTTATTCTTTTTTCTTTTTCTTGAATGCTAATAGTCAAAAACAAATCAAAGAAATCAACCAATAAATTAGGAGGTACAGGCCATATGGCTGAAGCCAGCTAGTTTACATTTAAACCATATTGACTTCTCACACCTTATAGTGCAATTTACATTATCCCTTCTGTCATCTGACCTTGCAACCAAGTGGGCAATTCATATATGCACTACACAAATTACTTTAAATGGCAATATTCTATTGTGCAACAATGAATTATGCACCCTTGGCGTGACACCTTCTACTTTACTTATCCTAAGTTTATAAATTATTATTATTATTATTATTGCCATTTATAAAGCGCCAACAGATTCCGTAGCGCTTTACAATATTATGAGAGGGGGGGATGTAACTATAAATAGGACAATTACAAGAAAACTTACAGAAACGATAGGTTGAAGAGGGCCCTGCTCAAACGAGCTTACAGTCTATAGGAGGTGGGGTATAAAACACATTAGGACACTACAGCGAGCTGTGATGGTTTATTAATGGGACACTCCGAGCAGTCTATTCTGGCAGTTACCTCTTGATCTTCCAACCAGTCTCTCATTTTCTGTCTATCTCCAATATTCCAACTATTTTCTTTGTACTGCACTTATTCGATTCGCTCAGCTATCCAAACTGGCTTCTGGTCTGCCCACTCAACAAAATAATATTCATATCTGTCCATAACATCCTTGTTCAAGCTCAGAATTGTCAGCTCGTTTTCATCGTCATTCTTGACCTCTTCTCTAGTTGATAGCGTTGATCAACCTTGGATAACTTTGTTGCTTATTTATACAGTTCATCCACTCAGCCCATCTCTTTTCACCCCGTCTGACCTCATTATTTCTCATGGCTTCAATACCCATCTCTCTGCATATGACATCGAGATAGTTTTCTCTTTTCTCTCATTTATTGCTGGCCTCTTCTCTTGTCCACTTGGAATCTGTATGTCTGCCCATTGGTCTATTTGTCTTTCTACCATTCTGTCATTCTGTTTGTGTATGTCTCTGTCTGTCTGTCCGTCTTTGAAAAAATCTCAAGGGGTTCTTCCCAGAGTAATAAGAAT